TCACTTCTGTGGCTGATGCCATTCTTTGCGACTTCAGAACCCAGTCTTTCCCCCCTTCCAATGTAAATACCAGCAGCTTTCCAGGAACTTTCCATGACTTCTGGAGAAAATCTGGACTGAAGAGGAGCAGCTCCTGGAGTCTGAACCTCTCTCCCCAGCATGTGGATGACCACTGTCGGTCTACTCAGTTCTTATCACATAAACAAATCTGATAAATTGCTTTTCATGATGTATATTCATCCTCCTGGTTTTATTCCTCTAGAGAACACTATCCCACATGTGTCTTATTGAGGGATGATTATACTCCTAAATTCACACATAGTACAAATTATGAGAAAGAGAAAGTAAAATATTGGCAGAATGTTAGTCCCTTTTGTGTGTAAGTGAAAAAAGAATGGGTATCATTGTATTTGTCTTTAATATTTCCTATAGTTTTGTAATTTTCATAATAAAATGTGGAGAAATAAGACATACTAGTTTGCTCTCATGGTTCAAAATGAGTAGGATTGAAAATATCACAGTTGTGCTTCTTCTTTTTATTTTCTTCCATAATTTTGATTTTTATTTAAAAGGTTTTTTCATACAATACATTCTGATCATTGTTTTTTCTCCCCCATCTTCTCCCAGATCCTTCTCACCTCCACATCCAAATCCACATCCTTCCTTTCTCTGTTATTAGAACACATACAAGTAAAAACAGGAGTAAAAGAAGGAAACGGAATATGACAAAACAAATAAAAATTCTGAAAAAAAAGATCCAAAGAAAAGGCACAAGAAACACATATAGGTATGTAGACACACACCAACATTCATACATAGATCCCATAAAACCACAAAACTAGAACCCATAATACAGAAGCAAAAGCTCTGTAAGGTTAAAAAATGCACAGACAAAGCATTATGAGACAAAATTATTTCAAAAATATTATTTAGTTTTGTTCATGTTGGTCACCTACTACTTGGCATGGGTCCTGCCCTTAACAGTGGTTTGTATTTCCAAACTTTTTATTAAGAGGATATGGGCATTTTTTTGTTTTATACTTGATAAACTTATAATTACTGCTTCTATAATATTAGGGGTTATAAGCCAATTTAAAATGTTCATCTAATCTTTATTTAACTTTAGTGGGTAGTATATCTCAAGAAAAGTAATTATTCATTTCTTTTGGGTTTTCCAATTTGTTGAAGTAAAGTCCACATGATTCTCTTGATTTCCTCAGTGTCTGTTATATACTCATTTTTGTCTCTAATTTTGTTAATTAGTATCTTTTTTCTCTGTCTTTTAGTTAATTTGGCTAAGAGTTTGTCAATCTTACTGATTTTCTCAAAGAATCAGCTCTTTGTTTTATTGATTCTTCATATTGGTCTTTCTTGTTTGTTTCTCTTATATTGATTTCAGCCTGACTTTGATTTTTCTTGCTGTCTGAAGATGGTCGCTTAAAAGAAATCCCACACTAGCTCAGAAATGAGAAATAGATGGTTATTTATTTAGGGGTAAACTTACAAATCAGAATCCTCTGCTGAAAAGGAGATCAGAAACCGAATTCCGCAACTGGAACGGGGTGGGGGGGAGATGGGGTTGGGTCTGGGGGGAGGGGAGGGGGAAGGCCGGTCGCATGCTCTGCATCAGCATATATAGTATAAGAGGCCACATCCCAGTGGGCAGGTAACCACTAGCTGTAAGACTTCCTATAGCAGCTGTCTACTCTTGGAAGTTATTTCTTCTTTTTGTCTTAGGACGTTCAGGTGTTCCATTGAATTACAAATAAGAAACCTCTCCATTTTTTTAGATAGTGCTATAAACTTCCCTTTTAGAATTACCTTCATTGTGCCCTATAAGTTTAGATATACTGTGTTTTAATTTTCATTTAATTCTAAAAATTCTTAAATTTCTTTTCTAAATTCTTTTTCAACCCATTTTTCATCCAGTACTGAGTGGTTCAGCTTTCATGAGTTTGTAAGCTTTCTCTTGCTGATATCCAGCTTCAATATCTGATGGTCAGATATAATGAGTGCAAGGTGTTCTTTTAATTTTCTTCTATCTGTTGAGACTAGCTTGGTGTTCAAGTATGTGGTCAATTTTAGAAACAGTCCCATGAGTTGCTGAGAAGAAGAAGCTGTGTTCTTTTGTGTTTGGATGAAATTTTCTGAAATATTGGCTAGGTCTATTTGATTTATGATGTGATTTATCTCCAGCAATTCTGTTTAGCTTTTTGCTTTGATGGTCCTCTCATCTGTTAGCAGGAGCTGGGCATTGAGGTCACCCACTACAATTGTTTGAGGGTCAATATGTGGTTTTAGCTATAGTAGTATTTCTTTTATGAACTTGAGTGCCCTTGTGTTTGATGCATAAATGTTTAGAATTATAAAATCCCTTTGGTGGATTTTTCCTTTAATGTTCTTTAGTGTCCTTTTCTATCTCTTCTGATTAGCTTTGATTTGAAGTTTAATTTTGTCAGATATTAAAATGGCTATTTGTTTAAAAAGGTCTATTTGCTTGGAATATGCTTCTCCATCCTTTTACCCTGAGATGATTGATGTCTATCCTTTGTGTTAAGGTGCATTTCTTGGATGAAGAAGAAAGGTAGATTCTGGTTTTGATTCTATTTTGTTAGTCTGTGTTATTTTATTGTGGAATTGAGACCACTGATGTTAAGAGTTACCAATGAGCAGTATTTGTTGATTCCCACTATTTTTCTGTAGTGATGTGGGTTTCTTTTAACCCCTTCTTTTGATGTGTTGGTCTGACATTATTTATTTCTTGTGTTTATTTGGGTGGTTAGCTACTTCATATTGAAATTTTCCTTCTAGCACCTTCTGTTGGATTAAATTTGTAGTTAGACATTTGAATTTGGTTTCATTGTGGAATGTCTTTCTCTGTTGTGTTTGAAGGTGTAGTTTGGTTTAGTAGTCTGGGTAGGCAGCTGTGGTAGTTTGTGTAACACTCTTATTGATCCCTCTGGCTTTTGGAACTCGTTGAGAACTCAAGTGTTATTAATGTGGTCTGCCTTTGTGTGTTATTTGTTTTTTTTTTTCTCTTAGAGCTTTTAATATTTTTCTTTGTCCTGTATATTTAGTATTTTGATTATTACATGCTATGGGAAATTTCATTTCTGGTCCAATAGATTTGTCATTCTGTATGTTTCCTATATCTTGATAGGCATCTTCTTATTTGGGTTTAGGAAAATTTTCTTCTATGATTTGGTTAAAAATGTTTTCTGTGCATTTGACCTTGGCTTCTTCTCCTTCCTCAATTCTTATGGTTCATAGATTTTGTCTTTCTGTAATGTCCCAGATTTCCTGTTATTTGGGGGGGGGAGGGAGGAGCTGGATCATTTAGATTTAACAACGTCTTTGACCAAGGTATCTATTTCTTCTATCTGGTCTCTAATGCCTTGGGGTCTCTATTCCATCTCTTGTGCTTTATGAGCAAGGTTTACCTATGAGGCCTCTGTTTGACTTCTTAAAGTTTTCATTTCCAGTATTATTTTAGACTGGATTTTCTTTAATGATTCTATTTAAACAATGTCTTGAACTATTTTCATGATTTCCCACCACTGTTTGTTTGTGTTATCTCACTTTACTAAAGGATTTATTCATAACCTATTAACTACCTGTAGCTGGTGAGGTCATGGACCTTAGAGGAGAACTTAATACTGCCGTTTTCCTAAACCAGTTTAGTTCCCAACTTCATTCTAAACACGTTCCCTTCTAAGTACAGATAAGTATATTGTTTACTCTTCATCAAAGACATGCCTTTTTACAGCAGAGACCATTACAGAAAACTACAAATTCAGAGAGCAACTGGCCATGAGGTTCCCAGCTCTAATCGATGTATATAACACAAACCCTACACCCAAAGCTCAGGAAACATGGCAGAAAAGAGGGCTGAAGAACTTTAAGTGCCAGAGGATCAGGAAATATGTTATGACATTGTGCCTTCTAGCTACAAACTCAATATTAAAAATTCTGTAGAAGACATCACTTGTGTTTGGCTTTTAATTTTTGCTTTGTTTCTTTTGTTTTGAGACAGGGTTTCTCTGTGTAGCCTTGGCTGTCCTGAAACTAACTGCCTCTGTAGACCAGACTGGTCTCAAACTCACAGAGATTCACCTGCCTCTGCCTCCCCAGTGCTGGGATTAAAGGGGTGTGCCACCACCACCCAGCTTTGGTTTTTAAATTTAAAACAAAACTTTTTGAACCTTTCATTGAATTTTTACTGTTAAAGGTTTATTTGGAGTTTTTGTTGGCACGACATTTGGGTAGTTGGTTGCATCACCCATATGCAGATCTTACTTTTTACATAATATTGCTATGTACACTATAGGCATAAATAATATCCTGTAGAAAAGTTATATACAACATAGGCATAAGGGATTTACATACTCGAGCCAGGTTATGACTATTTGGGATCTCACTGCCTTAGGCACATTTGGTGAAGCTGTGAAGCACAGAAACACAACAGGCTCAAAGGATAAGTGAAGCCTGCACACCACTGGCAGTGTGTCTTGGAGACAGTTCAACTGTCAACTAATCAGGTTACCACTACACAAGTACCACTTAGCATCAGCATAGAGCTGTGGGAACTGAGGTTTTCTCCAACTCACCTTAATACGACTTCACTAACCGCAGCATAGATGAGAAGGGGACAGTGTGTGGTCTCATAGAAGCCCTGTTGCAGTCTGCACATCTGCACAGCTAAGACATCTGAAGACTTTAGAAGTGCAGCTTTTTCTGGATCCCCCAGAATGTATCAGCGCTTTTCTTCAAGTAGGCCCTCTCTACATGAGTCATTTAGTCACAACATGTAAGATTTTGTCCAGGGGCAGAAGTGACACTGAGGAAGACATCATCCTTTATTCCTTCATTCCATAGAGTCCTTGGTGGAAATGGGATGCACCCTCCTAAGATTCAGAGATGCTAATGGCCCAGGACATATAGCCTTTCAGTTCGACCATGTCATAGGTCCTGTCATCCACCTGCTTGTGAACCTCTTCCCACTATTCCTTGTCTGCATCTGTGCCCAGTTCTGGCTTCAAATTCTTCAGGGAGATGACAGCAACATTGAAGCCACTCCACATCGGCACCCTGGAGTCTTCATGTTCCTCTAGGAGCCAACCATGACAGCCCAGTGAAGGAACTCCCAGCCTTTCTCCCTTCAGGTAACAGAACTGAGCTGAATCCAGATTGCAACCATTTCCGATAACTCGGTTTTTGGGAAAGCCACTTACAACTATGTAGGTCAAGATATCTACTGGGTTTGAAACAATAAGCAGTTTGCAGTTTGGAATGTACATCACATTGTTGGGAATGATGAACTTAAAGATATTCATGTTCACTGGACCAAACCGAGTTGACTCTCTCTTGCTGATGGGCCCCCTGCTGTTACAATCCAGACTGGAGTCTGCAGTCACTCTACAGTCTTTGCCAGAGACAATTTGTGGTGTTCTAAGGAAAAGGCTGCCATGCTGGAGATCCATCTTCTCTCCCTTGAGTATGTCCTCCATGACATCAACACGGGCAAGGTCATCTGCCAAGTCCTTCATTAGGATACTGATGGCACAAGTCATGCCAACAACATCAACCCTAAAAACCATAATCTTGTTCTTGGAGCTGGGAGGAGATGTTCTTTCTTAAGAAGATTCCCAGTAAGCTGGTTCTTGAGGCTTGCCATCTTGGCCTTGGAACCTTTTGGAACTGACAATGCACAATGGGCCATCATTGGGCACACAGGGGTGTGGTCTGAGCTTAAAGACGATGTTGGAGCTGAACATTCAGAATTTTAAATGGTATATTTATCTATTTCTTGAGAATTTCACACAGTATATTTAGATCATACTTATTTCTTTCCCACAACTCCTCCTAGATCTTCCTTATTTCTTTACCAACTCGACTTTATGCTGCCGCACCCCCCACTCCCATGGAGGAGGGTTAGTCCAAACCTGTGGAATCGAGCCTGTGTTGGCTTACTACCCCTGACTACTCCTGGGATCTGTCCTGGAGTGTGGTCTATATACCCAGTGTACTCCATTAAGGAAACTGACTTAACAGCTGTAATAGTGTGGCAACAGCTTCTGGCTACAGATGTGACTTGATGACCTTCATGCTTGGGTTTTGTTTGGCTTTAGTTTAAACAGATCTTGTGCATCCTGTCACAGTCTCTGCCCATTTAGTCTGAAAAACAGTCTCCTTGAAGGTATCCACCACCCCTGGCTCTTTCAGTCTTTCTGCTCTTCTTCTGCATAGACCCCTAAGCCTTGAGTGATACAGATGAACCATTTAGGTCTGAGCATTGCCAAGTCTCTTATTGTCTACATGTTGATTAGTTAGATGTAGGTTATATTATTAAGTATAATATTAAGTATTTGTATTAAGTGCCATTTACTGTGAAAAGCAACTTCTCTGATGATGGCTAAATCATGCAGTGATGGTCGCTGATAGCAATTATGTCATTAGGATTTATTTTATTGCTTTTCTATTTGGCAGAATGATATTATAAGGTTCTTGCCTAGGTGCCATGATGTGACTAGCCTTAGGCTCTTGGCTTCACTGACAGTGTCAGATAATGGGCTAATGACTTTGTATTCGATTAATGACCTTAAGGGAACTAAGAAACTCCTGTCAGGAAAGTTGACAAGCTGGGAATATCTACAGGTAGTTAGGAGCTAGGAAGCTCCTGATGAGAAAGTCTCTATTGGGATTACAACTCAGACTTTGCCTGAGAAGTGGGTGGAGCAGAACAGCAGGTGGAATTTACCACCCTAAAGGTTGGCTTCTGTCCTCTCAAACCCTCAAGACCCCTGCACCTCTTCACAGTCTTCACTCCCATGTAGAGCCTGAGGCCCTTCAATGCTCTACCTTCATTGTTCTAATGACTGCTTTCTTTTATTTTTATATCACACCTATCAATCCAGATCTAACATTTGGTTTCAAAAACCAGAAAGGGTTTTGGCTCTAGCCGTTCCCTTGGGTAACACACAGTCTCTCTTTTTTTCCTCTTCTTCTTTCCCCTCTTTCTCTCTCTCTCCCCTCTCCCCTTCCCTGTTCTTTCTCTCTCTCCCTCTCTCCCCTCCCTTGTTCTTTCTCTCTCTCTTCCTCACACTGGCTCCTCCAAAAAACCCTCCAAGTTCATTCTATCATCTAAAAACATTTGCTTATTCCTACCTGAAAATCTGTTTTATTATAGCCTCTGCTTTTGTGAGTGGTGCAAGTTTTGTTCTGAGGTTTTGTTCACAACCTGGATGAACTCAGTTCCCAGTCTCACAAAATGCCTTTTCTCATGATCTCTACGAGGTTAGAAAATTCTATAGGCAAGGACAATGATAATACGCATGTCAAAATCACAAAAAGGGCAGGTCGAACCTGACAAAGTAGTACATGGTGTGGGGGAATGGAGCAAGTTTTGGGAATGAATTCCATTTCAAAGGGAAGAATCATGGCTTCACATGGTTTCCACAGATATGACAGTGACTTTCCCAAAAGACAAGTGTTCCCGCAGCTCTTCAAAATGGGGTGCCCCATAAGTTGTACACTTTCTTAAGTGTCTACTTATGAATCTGTCAGCTGTACATTTACTGTATAGTCTTGTCTTTTCCAAAGTGGAGCCTAAGATTTCCATTCCTATATACCTTTGACTTGACTGTGGACTGAGGTCTGGACCCAATAAGTCACTGATTCAGACAACTTCATAATATGAAATGGCAAGCAGTCTGAAATTCTCCACAATAAAGTTCCTATTCCTCTCCACTCCCATCCTTCCATTTATTTCTTCATTTATGTATATCAAACCTCAAAACCCAATTCCCTAGACTCTCCCCTTCATGATGATCTGGCTGATGAGCCCTTCCCTATCCAACTCTTTCCCCCCATTCTGCTTCTCTATGCTGCAGGACAGACTGTGAACACTTAGATTTTTTTTTTTTTTGACACAAAAGGTCCACTTGAAATCTGGGATCTCTTCTCTCCTGAGGGTTGAATGTCCTAAATCCTGGCCAGAACAACAGCAACAGCAACAATGACAAAACTGCAGTTTTTGATTCTGGTTTTAAATGATTCCAAGTGTGCTCCGATAAGATCTTATCTGTCAAAGTGTGAAATGGGTGTTGCTGAAGTAGGAGCAGTGGAGGCAGGAGCATAGCAGCCACTATGCATAGGTTAAGTAGGCAGACTTTCCTGTATTGTTTATGCTCACTGAGTAACTTGCTCTGGAGATGGGATTTGGCTCTCTCACTTCAGACACAAGCATGTTTATCCCCAAATGTCCTCCAAATTCCTGTTCTGGGTAAGGGAAAAGGAAACAGTTAAAGAGTAAAGGATTGAACTCTTAAAGATGGTGAGCAGGTAAGGTACGTCCGCCATAGGATATTATTATATGAGTTTCATCCTTATAATGAAAAACAAATACTGTAAAGGGATGCAGAATGTAAAAAACTAGCCCCCAACTGTGTGACAGAGAGGAGAAAGAATGAAGTTGAACTGCTGGTACTCTGCTCTCATCTGGGAACTGGGCTGGTAACACCACTTAGGGAGATTTAGTAAGTTATTCTCTACCTGGAGATAGACAAACCTGTTTTGTTTATTACATTTTATATTCTTATATTATATTTGTTATGTTATACAGATTCCTGTACCTCCCAGCCTTCTCTTGTCTCTTCTGAAGTCTCTTCTGCAATCTTGAAACAGAGACACAGGCTCAGTACTATTCTGAACTAAAATTAAGTGATGCTTAAATTTCTTCTCTCTCAGCCTCTATTTGTGTGAGATCTCACACTGTGATTCCAGTTACTCTCACAGCTACATATGGACTCTGCTTCCTTGAACTGAGACCAGGCAATTCTCTCCTCTGTTTATTTTGCTAATTTTGGCCTGCCTGCCGAGGCCACAGGTACCATTTCTTCCTACATCCATATTAACCTAACCAAAGTGTCATTTTAAAGAAAAGGGTGTAATGATCCACAGATCCACATTTAACCTGTGAAATCGTGGATCCCACAGGGATTTGTGCCTTGAAGGAGCAGGGGCTTGAGTTTCCATGGAGCTGAGCTCAACCAAAATGACATCCGGAAATCTTCCAGTTCCATTGAGCACTCAGAAATCTACTTTAGCCATTTTTATATTAGACTAAGGAGGTAAAATCTGACCTCTAAGGTTCCTCCTCCTATGACACTGGGATCATTTTTTTGGTAATTTTAATGTTTTTAAATTTGAATTTAACATGATACATTTACTGGCCTCTAAAGAGGACCCAAGAGTTTTCCCAGCCATAAGTCTCAAACACTGGCCTACAAATCAAGATAGCCAACACTTTGAAATTTAACATAGATTCCAATAGGGACTCGGGATAAATCACTAAGCTTCTGCCTGTGAGGAGCAGCTGCACAGGCTCTGCTGGGTCTAAGCATCTATTATTCATGCCTGATATCTCTAGCCCCATTTTCCTTTGAGATAAAATGCTCTTTTCTAACTCAGTACTTCTTTGTTCTACATGTATCTGCTTTTGTTTCTGCCCAGTCTAACACTATGTAAGCTTCCCTTCCACAATAAGGATTATAAAAACATAATCCTAGGCCAGGGACATAGGCAATCTTCAAATCTTCATTCTCCCTCCTCTTTTCCAAAAGCAATTCCCCACTTTGATCCTCACCTCTGCAGACCGCCTGCTATGCCCTCGTCTTCCTCTCTGCTCCCATCTCTAGAGGATCAGCAGCTCTCCCATAGCCTTCCTCAACACTCCATCCCTTTGTCTCAGCCTTCAGCTCCAGCAGACATTCACTGGGAAGCTATAGCAGCAAAGAAGCAGGTGGGTCAAGGGAGCATGTGGTTCAGGGAAGCAGGTGGGTCATTTTAACTGTCCTCAGTGTCTGGAGAGAGGGGGTTAAAGACTTTCAAAAGCCTCAGGGAGCTAGGAAACTCAGGAGGGGGACAGTTGTCAAAGTGATAACATCTGCAAGCAGTTAGAACTAGGAAGCTCCTGCTAGTCAACATGTCTACCTTCATTGAGATTTACAACTCTTGAGACTGTAGGGGAACAGAGCTGCATATGGGATTTACCACCCTCAAGCCCTCTGTCTCTGCTCCCATCTCCATGGAGGGACACCTGCCTTTCATTGTTCTGATAGAAGACAATTTGCTTCTGTTATGGTTGATCTCCTTCCCCCCCCCCCAATATGGTTGGGTATTACTATAACGTTCATGCCACTATTGCACCTAGCTCAGTCAGGTTGTAAATGAACCTCGAAAACTTCACACTGGGTGAGGCTGATGCTCCTACATTGACAAACATAGCCCGTTTAGCCCTATGAACACTAGTCTTTCCAGATGAAGCTTTCTGTTGAGCACCAACTCGATTTTTTTTTAATGTTCTATGATAAGTATGTATTGTCTTTAGCAATGGGTTCTTACCACAAATTCTGGAGGCTAACCAATTGACATTATTTCTGACAGTAGCCTGTCATCTTTGGTGGAGTGGACCTCTATAAGACTCCATTGGCAAACAACTCCAAGGAAGCCACCCATTCCTAGTACTTGGGATTTTATTTGAAGGTGTATGGTATCTATTTGGGGTATTGTTCCTGATTATGGGGTAACTCTGTTTAAA